ATGTATAAGATATATAAAATGTACAATTTCCTGCAATTCTTCTATGCTTCCCACAGCAAAAAATTCTTGTTTCCCTAACTTGAAACCTCCATGAATAAAAACATCCACAACTCACTTTTTGGCTGGTCCCTTGAAATTCGAGTTAGAGAGGTTTGACTTGTACATTCAGATAAAATAACAAATAGCTAAACATGGTTCATGCCCCTGAATGCTGAGTATTTTAATAATGAGCAATACAATTATGGTGATGGCACATGAAAATGTGACATTTATAAGCATTGCAATTTTAAAAATACTAGATCATACTTGGTGTGGCCATTAGAAGCGTCGGTGCGTTGATCGAATGCAAATTCGTGGCGTTCCAACGACCTCCTGACCTGCTGACATCACTTTGCCTTTGTTAAAAAATGCACCACTTATACCGTATTACTCAAAGAATAATTGATCCAACCAATAAGTTTCCACGATATCACGTGACACGTGACATCATGCCATACGTTCTTAGAAGGAGTTTAAGAATTGAAAATAAGTAAATAGAACCACGGAATTTGATTTTTAAAAATCTCACGCTGAGAATTATTAATTGTCCGTATCTTAATCGAAAATTCTCTAGTGAAAGAGAGCTGTCAATATAAAAAAAACGATTACATCACGTTTTATGCATTTTTCACTGTATTCCGCAGAAAGCCGGAAATCAAAGGTAAGTCGAGTCAAAATGAAAACATGTTTATTTTGTCCCGACGGAGGGAAAACCTCCTTTAAAAAACGAACTAAGGAAAAAAGAGATAAGTTCCTTTTCTTCGCGAACATCGAAACACACATGAAAGCCGGATGGCCAACACAAAAAAGAAACATACCGTAAAATGAAAAAATGTTTCCTCGTTCAAATACGAGAGATTCATCGAGTGCAATCCCGTCATCAACAAAGCTATATTCCAATCGACACATTTTCCTTCATCGTAATTTTTTCATTCATATTTTTCGAAAACCTTCTCTGGTTCCCATCATACGCTGTATCTCATTTGCAACAAACCCTAAACGCGCCGGAAACAAAGTTCATTCAATTGAATCCCAATTTTTCCTGATTTACAACGAGCAAATGACGGATCGTCAGTGAATTCTTTTTTCTTTTCTTAAAAACACGACATCCAACTTTTCTTTTTTCGAGAACCCTTCTTTTAAGTAACTGGCACGTGGGACATTGAATTTGCACCTACATGATTGCTCAGGTCAACTTCCCCCCAAGCCCGATTGAGCAACACTCTTTTCTTTTTAACCCAACGCCACGTTGACCCTTCTATTGAGATACTTGCGTATAAAATGCCATCCGATCCCATGTCAAACAGTGATTTCACCGTTGAAAAAAAAGGAACACAAAAATCTGGAGATCATTGAAAGTAAAATTTGCCGAATATCACATCACGTGGTCTGTTCGGCTCGCGTGAGATTCGTATGCAAACATTTCTCCCGCTCAATTTCCTATGAAAGTGACACGATATGCGTTGCTGAATCCCGTATTAATTTTTTTTTGACTAGAAAAAAGGTCCTTCTTTTTCCGAACGTTCATTCCTAGTTTCCCGAACCAGCCGAAGTTAGTGGAAATATTTTTCAAAGAAGCGCGCTTGATGAAATCTAAAGAATATCAACAACGTTATGCCTAACAAAGTCTGGTCTTATTCCACTAAAGTCAGAATCAAGTTATGCTAAAAAAATTATTGTTTTTCCCAATAATGGAATTTTAGACCTGAATTTTCCCGAACTTTTGCCAATGAGTTTCATGAGAACGGGTCAAAAATCTAGACTCATGGAACTCGGGCGTTGGTTATTTTTAGCCATGAAAGTTCTTTTTAAACTTCAAAGTAGATCAGTAATAAAATAATTTATCAGAGAATAAATAGAAATATAATATTCATGCGGTAAAAAGATTTCTTTTTCAGGTGAAGAAAAGGTTTCGTTATTAAAATTACATTCCTGGGGAATGATTTATTCCTTCTTCATGATATATTGTATGTAGTGAGAAATTTTAGAGTTTCTTACAAAAATAGAGCCTGAGTTTATGCATCCGAAATGGTCTTTATTTTGGAAAAAACACAGTATTCGCTGACCTGATTGCAACCGAATCATTTTGAATCCTCAAACAATTCCTGATAAAAAACTGCAGTAATTTTCGATTAATACTTCCGGCTAAAGTGCATCAACTGTGAGGCATGGCAACATATTTAACGGATGTTCCAACAAAAATTTCGAAATTCCCGCAAAGGAGCCCAACTTGTCCAAGTGGTCACTTCTTCTTGGCAAGTTTGAACTAGACAAAATGCGGCTCAAGAAATGCAAAAAATCGCTTTGAATCCAAAAATAAAAACCCAACAAAAATTGAATTTATCCTGATTACTCTAAACGAGATCGATGAATTCAGTCATTGGAATAAAAGGGTGCTCAAATTTGAATTCCCAAAACATTCGGCTTCTGATGGGAAAGACGCCAAGTCCCCCAAAGTCATGGATTGAAAAAAAAAAGTTTTTAATTTTTATCCGAAAGTCAACCCAGCCAAACAATTTTGTTTCTCATCTCCTCTACGTTTTCGAGGACCATAAAAAATAATCACCCACGTTTTTCCGTCGTCGTTTAATGGAGTGGGGGGAAAAGAACATAAAGCGAAAAAAAAGGTCTTTCGTGGTCGATCGTCATCAGCCGAAGTTCTTATCAGTCGCGAATGCTGATAATGGCTGAAAAGGAAAAGGGAAGTTGAACGGAGGCGGCTTCGGATCAATGTTGGGCGGCGAACTTCATCCGCTTCTGCTTCTGCCGCTGATTGCAGAACCAAACACGGACGACGTTTTTCTTGAGGTCCAGCTTCTCCGCGATGGCGGCGATCTTCTCGCCCGACGGCCGGGGTTGCACGGCAAAGTACGCCTCCAGCGACCGCTTTTCCGGCGCCGCGATGGACGTCCGCTTCCGCTTCTTCTCGCCGCTCGGCAACACGGAAGGCGAGCCTTCTTCGCGCTCGTTCCGCTTCGCTTCCGCCTCGGCTGCTTCCAGCCACGCCAAAAGGATGGGCTTCAGGGCCACCATGTTGTTGTGACTCAGGGTGAGGGACTCGAATCTGCATATCGTGCTTTGGCTCAGCGCTCCAACCCCGGGCAGCTTCAGATTCGCCAATGCTCGACCTGGAAGCGTGCCCGTCGCGAGAGCAAAAGGCACAAAGGCAAGGAAGAAGAAAAACGGAAAGACTTAGTAAAGTAATTTACATTATTAACGTACATACAGTACTCGAATACCACGCGCCCTTGAGCAAGAAACGCACCCTAATTTTTCTCCATAAAATTAAAAAAAATCCTATCCCTGAGTAAGACGCGGGATTCATTTTTACTGATGAAAAACTACAATATTAAAACAATATGAGACGCGAGAATGCAAATGAACACGCATTCGACCCGAATTCAATTCATTTTCAATTGTTTGGATTTAAAAAATTTATCATCTAAAATTTCCCCATCGCAGTATATTCACGTGTGACGCACACATAACCTTCTAACCTTTTTTTAATGTTAGAGGTTCGTGCAAGGTATTTTTCTGAAAAAACAGAGGACTCTGGAGCACCCAATTTCCGTGGGTATAGGCCACGTCCCACGATGAAAAATCTTTTGGAAAAGGATGTTAATTGTCGGAAAAGAGGAAAGCTTTTTTTGTAGGAAAATACTGCCTCTAAACAAACGAAACGAACCAAGAACAACAGCGAGCCAAATTATTTCTTTAGCATTGCGCGGCAATTTTTTTTTATTCTGTAATGGAGAGTATCATTCTTCACGGGTATGGCCCGCACTACGATTATGCACAGCAAGTAAGTACAATATCGAGAAAATAATCGCGCATGGGACGCTAAAAAGGGAAGTTTTGCGGGACAAACTGCCCATTAACTTAAAAAATAAATCAATCAACGAATGAGAACAATGCAAGTACAGCACTTTGTAACATGTAATCATGCTGGAAGATCAGACGCCGTGCTCAATTTCCGCGATGATGGGCAGAACCACGATGTTGAAAAACAAGAAAAGAGCAGCATATCATAGGCCTCAATGAGGAAAGTTATAGGCCACAGAAATTATGGAGGAAACGTACCACATTTCAGTTTCCTCAGAGTCCCAAAAGCGCCCGAAAATTCTACTGATACTTCTGTTACGGGCCAAATCTTGAATCATTTCAACAACAACCAAAAAGATTTAATATACCCCCGAATTGTAAATGTTAACTAGGACTTCTGAAATGTGCTAATATCGGCATAACATTTTTTTCAAAACATATTATTCGTCAGAAGCAATCAGGTACTTCACGCGAAATTAGAATACGTTGAGACATTTCTCAACTTTGCTTCAGTGAAACGGAGCTCATTTTTTTTTATAATGCCAACAAAAGGCCGCTAAAATTGACTCTTTCTGACTCATCCCACAATACATATTGACAAATTTTAAAGGATTCGCTTGACATCTTCGGATACCCTTGCATCATGATTCATGAATGAGTATCTTTCATCACATACGTGGGAAATCGAAGCTCGATAATGAAGGCATAATTAATTTGTGCGGTACACATTTTTGTGCAATCGCAAATTGACCGCCTCTTTTTTTAAAGTTAATTTCGGCAGGTGGATCTCACTTGAACTTGGCACAAAGATTCGTGCAATTACTGTATTTGTCCATTTGTCTGTCTCGGCTAAAGAAACTCACCAACATCGGCCTGGGTAACACCAAGCTTGATCCTGCGCTGCTTGAACCGCTCGGCGAATGCTTCCAGCTCCCGCGGGTCCAGCTCGTTCTCGTGCATGGGCACGCCGTGAGTCTGGTGCGGGTGTGGTGCCAGGGTGCCGTGGGACCCCATCATGGAAGTCATGGCCGGGTGTGTGTATACAGACGCGTGGAGCTGGTGGTGGTGGTGGTGGTGGTGGTGCGACGGGGAACTCACGCCTGAGTCGGAGATGGGCGTCAGAGTCGCCATGGATGTGGAGGAGATTGGGTCCAGCATCTGCAGGCCCTCCATGTCGTGTGGCGTCATCTGTGGGATAATCAGAAGAAGTGGCTATCACTTCAGTTCAAAGACAAGTCTAAAAAAAACATACAGGCAAGCTCTTATGCTGCAATTTGTTTTATTGATATTTTATTTTTTCGAAAAGGTAAGGGAAGAAAGTGTAGATATTTATATCACTTGCGCAGTTTCACTTTTTGGGATGTATTTTTTTCTTTTAATATCCATGTACAGCTTTTTTCTCTAATTTCCATTCTGGCGTGAAGAATGTGTTTGGATGAATGTGGGTGGGGAGGGGAAGGGGGCCTGGATGTGGGAACATTGTTTGAACCTTGTGAACACTGAAAAGCATAAAATAAAGCTTGCTGTTCAGTTCAGTTCAGGTAAACTCGCTGAACAACGAAATAAAAGGGACAAGAAAAATTTCCTGCGTCAGAGAAAAATCTCTATGACTTGGAGAGAGAAACTATACCAACGGGACCAAAAGTTAAAAATAAGAATTCGTTGAGCAGAGAAAAATCGTTGCAGACAAGATTGTTGCTGAGAGAGTCAACCCGTGTTTTTTTAATTCCTTCCCTAGATTGCAAAATTTTCAAGACATCGAAGCGTTTGAATAAATCTTTTTGCGGGCATTAGCACCAGCGATATACAATTGAATCAATCTTTCTGCAGCAGAGTTAAAATATAAGCGCATAATTTGGCGCACATCAGTATCAAGAATAAAAAATTAAAACCTCGACTGATCAGCATAATCAAAGTCCTGGAAAATTCTGATATTTTTCTCATGGGTCAGAAAACGTTCGTTCAACGATTTAATTACAGTAAATTCCGCAGAATGGTGGGTGTCTTCTACATCGATCCAATACAGCAGACATACAGTACAGTATACTGTATTTCAAAAATAATAGGGTTCAGTGCTTCAATGAATCATTCTAATAGATAACTTTGTCACGAATAAGAAGCAAAGTTTTTAAATAAGAATGTAATTAAGTGTGCTCACAGTCATTGAATACAGAATTCGAACAAAAATCCAGTTCAACGCACTGCATAGATTCAAGATTACCGATGTTAAAATGACCTGCAAATTTTTTGACTAAATTAAGGCTTGTACAGGAAATAAAACACCTCTGTTGGAAACAAAAATCAGTAGCCTTTCACTAAATTAAATAGTATTCGCAGAATTCTAGATGCAAAAAAAAGAGAAAATAATAATAAGCTCTGAGAAGCAGTCTTGGTAAACTTGCGACATTTCTGGAAATAATCACCGAAAAGATGCTTAGGAAATACACCTGCTTCGTGTACAGCATTACTATTTAATGGGGAAACTCAAAGGAGTCTCGGGTGTACTTGCGTGACAGTAGTTGCTGACGTCGCGAGAAGCAATTTTTCAAGTTTACTCGTCGCGACTCAAAGCCTACAAGTCGATTAGTTAATTATTCATCGAACTCGTGAATTATTCGACGTCGTTATTTATGCAGGACCAACCGCAGACACAAGGATAGATGTAAGTATTTGCGTTCAACAGCAACTGTCACGGGCCGAAACCGTCGACACGGATAAAACATCGTTATTCTCCACAATTTTTGCAGCAGTGTCAATTTGATCATTCGAGAGCCTCTGGCATCCTGTAATCGATTCATGTCGATATTTATAGTCGTAGTCGCACGCTTCGGAAGGAAGCGTTCGGTTTTCACGAAAATCGAGAAAATTTTTCCTTTCTAATCCAGCTTTCTCTTCGAATGAGAGAATTGTTCTATACGTTTAAATAGGGTTTCTAGACGGGGAAGAAAAATATGCGACAAAAGGAGAACGGGGAAAGGCTTGGACAGGGAAACAGCAGTTTTACTGGATTACCCCCGAGCTCCAGTTTCGTTATTTCCGTCGGCGGAAGTGAATTGGAGCCCGGATCGTTGCCGACAGAGAGGAAGTGGACGAGGCAGCGAAAAAACGACGCAGGGGTCGGTGTAGCAGAAATGTCTCGAATGTCAGGCAGGCATTCAACATTTCCGGAGGACGTGGTATTTTTGCAACTTGCCCACGAGGTAAAAAAAAAGAAAGAAAAAAGATCTGCTATAGTAATGCAAAAACATTTTTACTATCCCGTGTCAAACCATGGTTGAATTTTTATTCCTTCCGAATTTAGGTGAAGCATGGCTTGTAGGCCAAGATTCAATCTGCAATTTAGTGGTGCTGTCTTTCAACGTAATTTTTATTAGCTGTAATATCTGTTGGCTGTATTCGATTTATGCGAACCTTTATATTTAGGGACATTTAAAGTTTTTACCGCCAAAAGTGTTCACGGAAACCTTACAAACATGAAGTGGGTCTTCTGGAAAGCATGTTAGCAGGAGTGTTCATCACACAAAACACCACTTTATTACATCCACAAAGGATCCTATATTATCAAAACTATTCGACTGAGCTTCTGAATTTATGTTAAAATATTTCTGTCAACCCGCATCCAAAGCATTGCGATCAGTGCCAAAGGCTCAGTGATATTATTTCAAATGCGACGATTGTGAATTTTTTGAAAGCTCGATACGGTGAGTCACTCACGCCTGCTGGAATATGTTTAAAATTTCAGTCAAGAACTCAACTTATTTGTTATGATGAATTCGAATTGATTAAATTCACTGTAGCGGCGACAGAATAAACGTTGTTCGGTGAAGTAGGAAACTTACATCCGAGTGCATGACGTAAATTTAAATCAGGTTGGTAATCTGACTAGCTTGGTACACAATCAGGTGCGGATTATAAATTCTAAGGTTTAGGCAGTCACGTATGTTGCATGAGCTTGATTTCAGTTCCTGCTGGTTAGGCATAATGCCTAAGCGAGATTAGTTGAAAATGTGCTCTAAAATTACGTGCAAAGTGCTTCCGTGGCATTAATTTTTGCACTCGAACAGAGAGCTATAATTATTCGATAATGCCCTAAATGTGTTTTTCCAAGTCCCTTCAGTGGAGCTGCAATGTTATGCGATTCTACGTAAATCGTTTTATAGCCAAGTGGTACTGTCATTATACCAAAAAGTGTTTTTATAAGATATTGCAGCAGAGTTGGTCTCTGCTCCACAAAAAATATATGCAACAAAAATGTTCGTAATAGCAAATTTCTTACGGGGAAAAATTGACGAATTCTTTGATACGACTCAATTATTCAGCCAACCCCTGCTTGAATTCGAGCAAATTTAAAACTAAAACGATTGAAATTATCTTCAAATTAAGGCAAAAATTGTAGAAGATAAACGAAAGGTTGAACTTTGCCCTTCCTCCAAGAATAATTTGTCCTCGTCAGAAAGTTGAGGACTAAATATTGTCCTCATTACTCCAATTTCCAACCATTAAATTTTAAACCACAATTTTACTCCAATAGCGTGCTCAAATACGCAGACTTTTAGGTTTTATTGAAGATGTTTTAGAATTTAGAGTGTCCGGAATAGATAGAATATTTTTCATTCGAAACCTAATCAAGGCAAGTCACATCTCACACAATACAGACATTTCGCAAAATAAAATGTATCCAGGAAAAAAATACCACAATCATAAAGTATTACTTTATTTTGCAGAGACTCATTGTAACTAATTTTTACGTGGAACTTACAGTCCAATAATAATGGCAACCAAATCAACTGCGTTTTATTTTAGCCATACGCTGTTACGTAACATCCGTGTCATGCTTTGCCCACACAGAAATAACCTGCAGTCACCGCATGGATTAAAATTTGAGCAGGTGTTCAGGTTCTCTAGTTTCATCTCCGCTCTCCGACACCGTCGCAGATGGGACAGGTTCCCCCCAGGGGGGGACGGGGGTGCGACACGACACGCGGTCTTGTGCCCACACCCCGATCGACGCTCAATCGACTCTCCGTGTGCCTGACTTCCCTCGACAACAACAAAAAAAAAGTTGCCAAGGGTGGATAACGCGTAAATACTGACGTGTGGTGTTGTATGTATGCGTGTGTGTGTATGTTTTGGGGGGAGATGGAGTCAATTGCGCCTATTTTTCTAGCTCTATTTTTTCGCCCCTTTCCGCCAAATGTCCATCTACGGGGTCACGTAAATTTCTCGCCCGAGTTCCCGGCTGGGCGTCGGGCCGAGAGGACCCAGTCATCGCCAGCGGGGGTGAGAGGAAAGTTGCTGTCTTTTCGGGGACAAAGCTCTGATACATGAGGGACCGACAGAATATTACTGTACTGTACCAACCTTCATTCAATTCGTGAAGAAAATTAGCACGGGGAATAAGTCAATTCTCGGGAAATGAAGCAAATCAAGGATATATCGCAAGGTATTTAAAATACCGTTTTCTATATGCAGCAGGTGGAGTTCCTCTACCGTGATCTTTTGTCAACGACGATTTTCTTTATATAACGATTTTGCATGAATTTTTGAACGAAGGGAATGAATGGGTGTATGCATACATGTCAGATGTCCAGTTGTATTTCAGGTTGTATTGTATTTTCTATTATTTTTGTTATCAATTTGTGTTTTCCTGCTCTGAAGTGATTAAATGTGATTAAGTGGATTTGGGTTGGGTGGGAAGAGGGTTTGGTTGTGGAAATCTTGATTGAACCTTGTGAATGCTGAAAAGCGGCAAATAAAGTGTTCTGTTCATTCATTCATATAATGATTTTTTTTTTGGTCCAAAAGATTTCTCTTCCTCCTGAAATTATGTCTACAGTACGACGGAATTTTTCTGGTCCCATGAATTTTGTTGTAGATAGAGTCCACTAAATGTATTGCACTCTCCATGAACCGACATTTGAGCATGGAATCCTCGAGTGAAGGCAGAGAAAATCAATATACTTTTGCATATTCAGAAGAACTCTGGATTTTGGGGCTTCTATAATTTGGGCAACCGATTCATTATGCTCGAATTAAGTTTGTATGAGAGGCGAAAAAGGTGCGGGTATACATTAAAATTACTGAATCACTTGAGTAGTTTTATACCGCTGATTGACTAATTATCCCCGATAATGCAGTCAAGAATTTGGAGAATTCGCATAATAATCTCTCAGGCTTTTTTAAAAACCTCCTTCACCATTTCATTACAAGTTCTCAAGAGCATCGTATTGTTTGTGATATTCGAAAATCCCAAAAAATATATCGAAGCAAAAGCCCCCGATGATATTCACCCCGGCAATTGCAATTATCTAGCAATTATGAACACTTCTGACTCACTGCTATTAAATGCATTTCTGACCATGCTCTAGACTTAAATTTCGTTTGAATGATGTATCCTTTATTCCATTTCTTGGACTCATGCTGTTTTTGAACGCAATTTTATTTCCCGCTGTTTTCATAGGGTCTCAACTTTTCTGGTTCCGTGTCACACTCATTAACGGAATCATCAAGCGATAATCATCGTTTTAAGTGCATTGAAAGCTCTAAAATTGCATTTAGTGAGTTTATTTACGCTGTTTAAGAGCTTTGGAAGCTGTTCGAATCACAGTAGGGGTTTTCATAATGGGTATAGATTTCAAGCGTTCATGGCGTTCTCTGCCCGCGGTTGAAAATCACCAATAGGATATACGGTAAAGGTCTTTGAAGCATTATATACTGTACTAGAAATTAATGCTTGACCATTTATAAAATTCGTAAAAACCTTCCTCTGTTGGACACACGCTACTAAACATGAAATGGAAACGGCGGAATGAAAAAAAAACTTTTGTAAGCCCCTGCAAGGCGTATTTAACGAACGGACGCCACATGACTACAACTAAATCCCAAGAGAGAAAAAGCGGCATAAAAAATACAAATGTCCAGCTGTTAATGTATTTTTTCGCTGGGCATTCACATCCACAATAAAGAGAGAAAATAAATCGTCAGATCGGATTGTATCTGTCTGGTGAAATGAAGCCCAGAAGGGAATTTTTCTCGAAATTCCGTCCGTGTCATCGGAATCATGGTCGAATTGATCGATATTGTAGCACGATTAAGGCCGAAGTTTACTGTCAAACTTTTTCGAGTAATCATGGGGAATACTGGCAGTATTTTTAACATGTATGCTATCACATTGCTGCATTCATAAATTGCATTAGTGCGGATTAGTTCAAACGCGGGCTGCCTGAAGTAAAATACAGTAATTGGGATATGATTCTCGATAAAAGCCAGCCAAACATTCATCCGAACTTCTACCGTAAGATATTTTATTCAAGTAAGGTACACGCATTTTGAAGAGAATTCTTGACAATTACAAAGGCAAACATTTAAAAATGTGTTGTTTCATTTTTTGCAGTTTCTCTTCTGTGCTGAGCTCCTCGTTTTTCTTGGAATATAAATTGGAAAAGCTGATTTGAAAATGTTCTGCTGAAAACGATTCCCTAGCTGTCAACGTGTTTTGACGGGGTGGATTAGCAATTTTTCAAAGCTCACCATTTTTAAAAAAATTATATTATGTGATGATATTATTTTGATTTACTTTTTTAAAAGAGGCAGAGCATTTTTACCGAAAGCTACCTGCTTTCTTTACTAATGAACTGATAATTAATTGATAGTAATACCTTAATTACTCCAGAAAGTACTTTAATGAGCGCACATTATTAATGTTGACACAGTTTCTACATTGTTAATTATTGAGAAATCCGCTTCATATTAATCATATAAAATTATCATTTGGTCCATCGTCCAGAATTATTAACAGCTTCAATGTGGTATATGAATCATAGGAGTCCATCTCCAACCTTTCATCGTTGCCAACAATTGCACTGGATAGCTCGAAAAGTAGTCTCGAAATTTTATTCTCAACAATTTATGAATTCAGTTTTTTCATGAATTTTTTAACATAGCAGATACAGTTCGGAATTCCATAAAGAGTTGAATGCATGCCATTTTTCTAATCTCAGTGAAGGGATTCAACACCTGATTCATCATCACTCATGCCAATCTATGAGTTCAATGCATTCACATAAACCTCTTTTGCTGCAGTTCAAATTCTCCGTATTTCACAGTCCGCTAATTTATGCACAAGATTGTACGGAATCTTCAGCAATGTGAGATGTTAAAAAAATGTGAAACATTTACGGGATAAACACACACATACACACACACACGCAGGGCCAGAGTGACTGCTACATATTACAAGTTTCTACGTGTAGATTGCTGTAATTGTTCCATGAGCCGAAATTAACCACACCTCGATGGGTTTTCAGAGTTTGTTCTTTCTTCGATTTTCAAGCTTAACCCGTCTATGTAGAACAACGTGACAAGTTTCTGCGCGAATATTGCTGTAATTGTTCCATGAGCCGAAATTACCCGCCTAGACGGGTTTTCAGAGGTGTTCTCTCCTCTATTTTCAAGCTTAACCCATCTATGTGGAACAACGGGATGGAAAATGTGAATTCTGTCGTAATTCGCCGCCCGTGGCACGTGGGGTTGGGCGAGAAATGGGGTGCGGGTGATTACGGGTACAATTAGACTCTCAATGGCCAAACAGCAGCGCGTCGAGGTGATTGATGTGCCGCAGCCACACCGTCCGATTGTCGATAATCACGCTCCAACAGGCGAATGTTTCGCAAAAACCGCGTTAATTTCATTTTACATCATGCAGTACAGTACTGCATATGAGAGGAAAGAAAAATTCATCCTGAATAAAATAATTCCATGGGAATACCGAATCATTAAAAATGAAGACAACCTTTTGCATCTTGCGCACTGAACATTTTGGTGGGGGTGTCGCAGAGAAAAGTTGAAACTCGCTGCTAAACTGTATTCATCAATCAACTACAATATTGCGATGGTCTAATGAACTAGAAATTACGTTTATTTTATTCACCTATCGATGACTCAAATATGCACTGCAAACATCGATTATTCAAAATTTTTTAAAATTAGAACCAAAAGTTACTAAAGAACTCTGGAAACGATTCCTGAGCTTTGTTTGTTACAGTCACGATTTTATAAATTCGCGGAAGTTATGTTTCATTTAATTAGCAAGCCTGAACGCATTTTCAAATTTAACCATGTTCATAAAGCATGCTCACCTTAAAATCTTTATACCTGAGTTTAAGCCGACCACAAATTTGATGAACAACACTGATTTTGATTTACGGTAATTAGAAGTATTGTAACACGAGTTGGTACAGAACGTAACTCGCAGCCGCTTTCATTTCTCTGTGACAGACCGGAACTACGTACAAAATATCATTACAAGATATTATTATCATTACACCGCTGAATAGTATAAAAATTATCAGATGAAGTCTCAAAAGAAATAAGGTCACGTCGGCAGTCCCGCATGAAGAGTTTTCATAAGAAACGCTACTGAGGCCATCTAAAAAGGCTTTTCATATATTTTTTAGATCATTTGCGAGTATGTCATTACTATGAATGATGCGTGCGAGTAGTTTTTTTCAAAATTTAAATGCTGTCATCCTTGATTTATTGAATTTTCTTATTATCTCGATCATTCCTGAATTTCAAAAGTAAATGCGACGAAATTTCAATAGTCATTCTGTACGAGGTTTTATTGCAACAATAAAATATCGATACAGTCTTAAAATTCCTGTTTTTTTCTTTACGTTCAAATCGTGTTTATGCTTTTGAATGTAAACGATGTCTGCATATACTGTAAAAGTGGGCTCTACAACGATTTCCTCCGTACAACGAATTGTTGTTACGTCCAGCAAGAGGGTTTTCTCGGCACGTTATAGGGGTTCTCTGGAACGAATTTTTCTCTGGTCGCTTGAATTTCGATGTAGAAAGAGTGAGTCCACCTGCAATCCTTTCGCTTCATTCGTTTTCTTATTTCTTTTGCAAATTTCTGTTCTTTTTCCCACAGAATCTTCCTCTGTATACCCTCACAACCAGCATCGTCTTTTTTATACCGTACTATTCTTCACGGGGACAAAAATAAGAAAGAAAAATGTTCGCACCGCCGCGATCCAACCGCTAACCCTGATTGACAAACGGTGAAGGGGAAACAGAACTGACCTGAGGCCGGGAGTTGGGCGGCGGTGGGTGCGGGTTGCCCATCGAAGGATGATGGTACATGACCTCGTGCTTGAACTGGGGCAGTGCCCCGGGTCCCTGTTTGGAAATGTCGACTGCGGCCAGGGCCTCCACCCTGGCCTGCGACAAGAGCCCATCATCCAGTCCGCCGAACATCGACTGCGGTGGCAGGGAAAAACTGTTGTAGTCCTTCAGCTGCGGACGACAAGACCGACACACAAACACACACACACATACATACAACTCGAATTAGGATAATGAGTCCACTTTGCGGCATAGGAAGAGGAAATAGACGAACAAAACAGAACTTGAAAAAATAAAGAACAGCAGAGAAGAGAGCTCGCCCTCGCGGGCATTAGACGGGAAACCGGTCCAGCGCCTTGGGCAAACACACGTGCTGGGTTAGCCAGGTTACCCGGTCTCCACTCATACGTGGTGGGACACTGCCAGAGGTGGGGGGTTCACAACCAACCTGCAGGTGTCAAAGTGGGGGCTTCTCAAAACAAAAAGCAGAGAAATATCCCGGGATTCCTAACCCCAGCGAAGTTTTGCGCTTTCAGAACGGAAACCCATACACTGTACCATCACATAGAATGGTTGTGGAGTAAAATTGTACAGTACTTCAGAAAGGTGATAATCAATTCTACGAAGATGATGAATCGTACGGGACACAAGTTCGATGGGACTTGAACTGAGAGTTAAATTAGGAAAATAACAATGCAACCCTGTTTCAAGAAGGTGCGCATCAGGAATTTATTTCCTTAGTGAAGCGCTTACTCTCGTTGGACTCATACTTGAAAAATATGGCGAAATGAAAAATATTAACAAGAACAGTTTTTTCTTTAGCCAGACGCAATTCTCTGAAACGATCTTCCCTCAATTTTCAAATTACTCCCTTTTAAGTTTGCTTCTTTATTAGAATTCATGCGAAGAACCAGAAACTGCATTGAATCCCAAGATTCCAGGAAAAACAAAATTACAATTCCCACCAAAAAAAAAACTTTCACTCAAAAATGTCAACTGTATACCATTATTTGTGCTCTATGCTTTCATATGAAAATAAGGTTTAGTCCGATAATAATCGCCGTCGGTGAATAAATAAAAATAATTCAAGATAACGGCCTTCTTTCCTGGGGAACGCGCGGCATCAATATCTACAAAGACAAATTTTAATGCAGGAAATTTACATTTCAAACTAGATGAAATGAACCTGATGGCTGAGCTAAAAAAAAAAGTGACAAACTTGCGTATTAATCAAAAATAAGGTTGTAACCCCCCGAGGGAGAAGCAAGTTAGTCGATTTCATCCCCGTGTTCACCTAGTTGTGGTAATTTACCCAAGCCAATTTTTCCCCCTCTTCAGTCTTCACACGCAAGTTGTTTTTTTTTTTTTTCTGGCTGGACTGTGTTTGCCCAACTTTTATTTTTAAAACTTTTGCCTGTTGATACTGCGCAATCGGTTTGATCCCGGAAAATTACGTGGCGCAATTATCCGTCCCATATCAACATCTATTATGGCAATTGCTCTGGATCGAATCGACTGAAAGTGTACCTCTTGGGAACTAATTTCGCTT